TATTTTAAAATAACATTAATTCCCGAAATCAAACTTGATGCCGCTACAGTACTTTTTCGATTTCTCCATGACAACCTACTATGTGCGAGCGGTCGATTACTTTAATAATAATATTTTTTTTTTAATAATAAGTAGTTTATTCGTTGTTTTTTACATTTTTACAGTGATTGAGTCTACCCTTTAAAGTATAAATACTTGTATCAGGGGAGACCCGCTCTTATACATTCTACTTAGTAACGAATAAAAATTAAAATTAATACAAGCTTAGTGTGTGCAGTGTTGTCAATCAATACCAATATTGTGTGTGTTTGTATGTGTGTGTGTTTGTGTGCATATGGGTGTGTGTGTGTGTGTGTGTATGTGTGTGTGTGTGTGTGTGTGTGTGTGTGTTTGCGTGTTTGCGTGTGTGTGTGTGCATATGTGTGCTTGCGTGTGTGTGTGGGTGTATGTGATTAATAATCAATTCATGTTTTCTAATATATTCCCTGTATCTTCATATGTGAGTGATTTTAGCCATGATGTTAATTTTCGTTTACATTCTCGGTAAGTCATGGTATATATTTTTATTTGTCTGTTTATTTTATTATATAGCCTTACTGATTGTATATAGAATTGTCTCGAAGCGAATGTTGTTCTGGTCTTTCTTTGATTAATGACAGTGAAGGGATTACGTTTAACACTTTTTGCTGGGTCTTTTGGCGTTTTTTATGTGTCACCAGAATAGTTTGTAAGATATACAGCGTGTTTGGTAATACCTGTATAATCCCGAAACATGGCCATACAACCTAGCACAAAGAACACAATTGATAGGTCAAAAAACAATTTCATGTAAATTGATATTTTCATACAAATATTTGAACAAATTGTTTTCAATTACTATGCTACAACCCTGTAAGCTTATACGTGCCGTCCCGGCGCACTCGCTCTTTCTCTCTCTCTCTCTCTCATTACCTCTCACTCTCTCGTTTCCTTGAATACATTTTGATGTTGCCGACGCGCGCACTCGACTACGTATGAGTTTACTTGTAATTAAAAACAATTTAAGATTAAATAGGTACATACCTATAGCGTTCTAATCACTCTTTCAGCTTTCACTTGTCAACATTACCTACACTTCACCTCCACTTTATCAGTCCAGGGTCTCGATATGCCGGCCACCGCATAAAACACACATCTCCATTCGACTCGACACAGACCGTGTCGTGTTACTCTCGACGTAAAGTCATATCCTCTGTCTCGATGGAATAGGTGATCGGCCGGCCTACCTGTGGTACACTATGGAATGAACCAGTTGTATGTAACCAATTCACAAATGCCGCGAATCACCGGTAAGAAGGAAGACGTCGATGGTTTTCAGGTCTTCCTGACACGTGGCGCTCGTCATAACGCCGCCGAGCCGCAGCAAGATTACCGTCACAAGCACCGCCACACATTATCATCACGTAATATTAGGCATTTGAGTACGAATTCATTGCACTGACCGCACACAAACATAATACACAGGTAAACAGAACGAGAATGAAAAACAAACTAAAAGTCCCGAAAGAACGAAAACGTAAGTTGACCTTCTAAATTCGGAAAACTCACAAGTACGCCGATGAAAGTCACGGACGCGACTGGCGCGATGACCAAAACTACATAGGTTATTATTATTGCAACTCGAACACCAATGTACCTAAAAGTACATTGGTGTTCGAGTTGTAGAATATCAAAAGTGTACCGATTTTGGGGTTCCGCGTCAAGAAATATTATTTATTATTAGACCTTTCCATTACAACTAACCTTTATTTAATTATCATTTAAACTAAGAATAAGAGAGATACTTAGATTATTAATATCATTGTATAAGTCCGTATTTTATTGTTTCGTGAAAATAACACGGCTTTATGAAAAAAATAACAAAACTTCAAAGCAAATAATCTACAGAACCTTACTGACACATCAGAAACCCGAGTTTCTCAATACACATCGTCGTCGATTTTATGTCTCTCTCGTTCTTTCTTGCATAGACTAATGTGAGCAATGGTGCAGATATTGAACTTCAATCAAAATATTTGCAATTTCTTTTTTATTTTGACTGTATTATTACAGAAGTTTTCATATTAATAGTTTTTGAAACACCGTTAATCACAAGATTAGTGTTTTTTTTATAGTTAAAAGTCATTTACTACTAACTTTTTCTTTGTTTGGAAATAATAAATTCCTCTCAGATGCATATTTATTCTAGGCATTTATCTTTACATTTATTTAACTTCTGTTATTTTTTAAACTAGTTCGGCACATGGAGTCGATGACCAAATACAACACAACAGCTGTATTTAGGGTTGTCAGCGTACAGTTTTACTTCGAAGAAAAAAAGCTGAATATCTAGGTCATGTGCTGGGTTTCAGTCTTAGTGATCTTTTTTCTGGGTTCTATTCATCATACCGTATGTGCCATATTCGGGATTATACAGGTATTACCAAACACGCTGTATAATTAGCGAACTGTTAAAACGTTTAAATCCTTGTTTAGCTGAGTTGAACTATATAGTCTTTTTTTTTATGCATTACTTTCAGAATTGTTCTTTGTGCACGTTCCAGATCAATAAATTTTGTTTTGAAAGTTCCTCCCAAATAGTTATACAATATAGCATAATAGATTGTACAAGTGTTGTATATATATATTTTAGCAAATCCATATCAGAAATATTACGTAAGTATTGAAAGAGCCAGATTAATTTTCTAGATCTATTACATACAGCGTCTATTTGTTGATACCAGGATAGATTTGAATCAATGATAATTCCTAAATATTTTGTGCTGTCTACTTTCTCAATTTTAGGGCAGTTACAGTTGCTATTATCAAAGGGATTTTTACACGTATGTGGAGTAAGTGTTAGATTCGAATCCGGTTGAGTTGATTTATTTATAGTGAAAGAAATGTAATTTGTTTTATTTGCATTTAAGGTAAGGATATTTATACGTAACCAATTCATAACCTTTTGCAAACCTTCTTCCGCCTTTGCAAAGGTATCCCGCCATGTAGAACCACAAAAAAGTAATACTGTGTCATCTGCGTAAGAGAATATGCGTCCGTTGTCTAATTTCATGTCAGTAAGGTTATTTATATAGACTAAAAAAAGTGTAGGTCCCAAAACGCTACCCTGTTGAACGCCGAAGCCACTAATTGTAACATCCCTACTAATTACGTTTTCTTTAAGTTTTACTCTTTGGGTGCGATTGCAAAGATAATCTGTAAGTAGAAGAAGAAAAGATCCTCTTATACCAATCTTTTCCAGTTTGCGGAGAAGGATGGGAACAGAGACTGTGACAAAAGCTTTTTTTAAGTCTAGAAATATGCACAGTGCTTTTTGTTTACTGTCTAATTTAGTAGCTATATGAGTGGTGAGGTCATGGATAGCGTTCTCCGTACTTATTCCTTCGCGGAATCCATATTGTGCATTTGATAAGATGTTGTAGTCAGAGAGATATTTTTTGAGACGATTATTGATAACTTTTTCTAAAATTTTGGAAAGAGTACACAAATTTGAAATCGGCCGGTAGTTACTGACGTCGTCCCTGTTCCCTCCCTTGTAAATAGGTTGTATAATGGATCGTTTTAAGAGTGACGGAAAGACACCTTGTTTAAGGCATAACGTGCAGAGGTATGTTAATAACGGAGCCAATTCTTTTATAGCCATTTTTATAAATATGGTCGGAATATTATCCCAGCCAGGAGCGGAGTTTACTTTAAGGCTGTTGACAATTGCTATAATCGCCGAATGGTCTGGTTCAATTATACCAATAGTGTTTGGTTCAATAGGGAAAGTGGCGAAATAGTTTTTCAAAGTTTTGGGCTCAGTTTCTATTTGTTGTGCTAGGGTTTTGCCAACATTACTAAAATATTTGTTAACATATTCCGCTGATTCGTTTGCATCACCTTTGATACTCAATAATTCTGTGTTTGGGGTTTTTATTTTATTAAGGTTAGTTATAGTTTTTATACTATTCCACAATGCTTTATTATTTGATTTTGATTTTTCCAAAAGGTCCTTTTCGTATTTATTTTTAAGTTTTTTAATCAGATTTGTACAGTAATTTCTGTATCTGCGGTACGTTATTTTGAGAATTTCATTTGTAACGTCGGCTTTTAATTTTTTTTGCAAATTGTTTCTTTGTCTAATGCATTTTAAAACTCCTGGTGTCATCCAAGGTTTTATTATCCTTTTACTGTGTGGTATATTCACTATTTTTGTATTTATAATCAGACTTTGTGATATTGTTTCAATTAGTTTGCTAGCAAGGATATCAGGATCAGAAATTGATGGTGCATTATTGGTTATTGTGAGCATATTACTTTGCAATGTTTTAAGAGCGTCAGGAAAGTTAGTTATAGTTTTAGTTTTAGGCACTTTATTAGTTTTTACTTTACTATATATAAATATTGCTGCCATTTTATGGTCAGTTACTGATGTATTTAATACTGTTACAGTGGCTGAATAGAGAGAAGGATTCAAATAATCGTGTTTGTTTTTAATCGTGTTTGCATATGCAATACTATGCATATGCAAACACGATTAAATAAAGATTTTATGAATTTTATTTATGTTTTGCAAGAACACCAAAATAGAAGTGAAGTAAAAAAACAATAGGCATGGACAGCTAATCACAAAAAAAAATTGTGTCAAAAAATAGATCAGAAGAGTAAAATTGTTCTATAAAAAGTATTTTATAAACAAGTAAAAGCTCTTTGCTCTAACAATAACAACAATCGAATAACATTCATTATAATCATCTTTTATCGTATAAGCTGATTAATCGACTAATTCGATTTTTAAAGTAATAATCGCCCATCGCTAGTCACTAACAACAATGTCTCATTGACGTTTATAGAGTGGCGAGTTCTTTCTTTTTGACGCGAACGAAAATCGTCCTCGGGACGTGAAAATCTGCAGCGCATTTTTAATCTGCAATAATCGCAGTAGTACTAATTAATTAGGCCGTGTACTGTTGATAATTTATTTACATAATGCCGCCTAAGTTCGATCCTAATGAAATTAAAATCGGTAAGCTAGTATTTATTACAAAAAATGTTGAAAATCAAGAGTGCTTTCTCTAACTTATGATCTTATGATTTTGCAGTTAACCTAAGATGTGTTGGTGGAGAAGTCGGTGCCACATCATCCTTGGCTCCCAAAATTGGTCCTCTTGGTCTGGTAAGTTTTGAGATTTTCTTCATTGGTATGTTTGGCAGTCACGTTTCTACCGCGAGGTTATGAATCTGAGAGAGGTAACCAGATGTTGGATATCTATATTATTTGTTTCTTGCTCACATAAAGTGAACTGGTTACCTCTTTATGATGATATGAGTGATCCTGGGGGGTGCCTCCCTACCAGGCGCGTCCTTCCGGGTGGCGGATGGAAGGAACCCGCGACTCAGGATGCCTTTCCCTGTCGCGGCTACTCCGAATGCCCAATAAGGAGTCGCGGACCAGGCCATATGACTGCAATGTGTGATAGCAATAAGTATAATTTAAACTTCTATGTATATTACTTTACAAGCTGTTCTATATTGTAATATATTGACTTGTTTAGCAGGTGATAATAAATTCTTTGCAAATAGTAAGATGGCAATACAGAACATTGATTAATTCTAACAACTTTCCAAACTGGAAATTAAATAGTAAAGATAATTTTTTATTGACCCATATTTGAAAATCTGCTTATTCGTTGGTTCAAACCCTGGTTACTACACCATCTCTAATGAACAGAGAAGGGCAAAATGTAATCATGATTAACAATTACATTTGGTTCATTCGCCTAGAATAAAGATTACAATATAGTAATGGTAGTAAGTTTTGATAAATTTAAGATTCATGTGTAATAAATAAATATTAAAAAATCAATTATAATATGTAATCTTCAATCCTGGGTGAATGTTACAAAATGTGATTGTTAATAATGCAGAAAATTGTCTAGGATATACCTACAAAAAATATATATGTAACCCTTTTTAATATATTATTATATTTTTATTTCATTTTTTGTTAAATGTGATTCACTGTTTTTTTTTTTTGTATAAATTTACTTATTTGGCATCTTAGAAGTGATGATGTAGGACAACTTTATAGATGCCATTTGATTAAAAAGAAAATTGAGTACATAATAAGCATTTCTTTATTAACTACAAAGGAAAGGTTTTAAAGTAATTTATACATTACTTTTTTAATTAAGAAAATATGCTTACTTACTTTTTCTTACTCTAGTCTCCTAAGAAAGTGGGTGATGACATTGCAAAGGCCACTGGTGATTGGAAAGGTCTGAAGATTACAGTACAACTCATTGTGCAAAACAGGCAAGCTCAAATCTCTGTTGTGCCTTCAGCTGCGGCACTCATAATCAGAGCTCTCAAAGAACCACCACGTGATCGCAAGAAACAAAAGAACAGTAAGTTTTGTATGCTAAATTGTTATTACAATAATGATAAAATATAACATGAATTGCCTTGTTTTAACAATATCTAATTAGTTGAATGTTTTTTCATCAGAAGTTATAATTTTGAAAGGACTTGTTGTTTTGTCTGAAAAATCAAAAGATTTAAATATATTAATTTTATAACTGAATAGCATATATTTTATTCAATTAAGTTAGGACAGAATAACCTAGTTAGTGTAAACTATCAATCCCCCACTGATGTTTTTCATAGGGCATGGGAGCAATACAGTTGGCATAGTATTGTGGGCAGCCAATGTGTTAATATAAACTAAAAAAAGTTTATTCTAATTTTGTTCATATGTAAGCTAAGATTGTATGCACTTGAATATGTTCAAGCTGTTAATTGCGACATAACAATTAATTATTACTTTTGAATTTAATCAATTGTTTAATATTCCTGCAATAAATCTCGCAAACTCAACAGGAAGCCTTTGGTTCCAGGCTGTGCTCAATCAATATTTGTCGGTATTAGGCTCTTTACTCATGGCTCGATGCGGTGTAATTTGATATCGATTAACGATATCGCTTGAATCGTGCGCCCTTCTAAAATGTATGGAGAGTTGCAAAGAATGGTAATCGGATAGGTGACTAAATTTTCTTTGTTGCTAATAAGCAAGTTAAAGAAGGAAATAACGACACCTGTCCTGCTCCACCCCGCTCAATCTAATAAAAGCTAGACTAATTTCCTTGAAATTTAATGGGTTTTCTGTTATTTAATGACAAAATTATTATTTTCAGTAAAACACAATGGCAACATCACTCTTGAAGACGTTATTGGCATCGCCAAGGTCATGAGGCCGCGTTCAATGGCACGATACCTATCTGGCACTGTTAAGGAAATCCTCGGTACAGCTCAGTCTGTTGGATGCACAGTGGAAGGCAGGCCCCCACATGACCTCATAGTGGACATCAACAATGGGGCACTCACCATTGATGAATAAATAAATTAAGAATCGGACCCCTACTCTTAACTCTTTCATTTCACGATTTCATTTTACCCATTTAGATTTAGAATGTTCATAATTTCAATGTCTAAAAGTTACTTTAGACGGCGCCATTGGCAAAGTAACCCTTTACGTTTACATCCCCCAATGAGCACCAATTATTTATTTTGAAATGAATTCATGATTATATCTGCCCATTTTAACCATCAATCCATAAATTGTGAGCAACCTTTGAGATTTAGGTGATGCAGAATTTGTTTTTCACCGACGGATCTCTACGGCCATTCAGAACGGTTAATACAAACTGTTTTAAAACATCGACATTTAAATCTGAATAATTAGTGATTAAATATAATACTCGGGAACTTGTAAAATATACAAATTAGAATGAGCAATTCTGTAAAAATTTAAGCCCGATTTCGACTTCGTTCACAAGTCCGAATTCACGGCATTTAGAGATATTCTTTTGATAACATTTTACTTGTGATTTCGAAATTCAGTTCACTTATGCTGCGATAAGTTACGAGGGTCAAACTGAAAGTTCTTAGAAAATCAAAAACTGATTACATTAGCCAGTTATTAGTTTTATTATATCTTTTCAAAATATTGTCCATTCACGTCAATACACCGCTGCGTGCGATGGAACCACTGGGAAAAGCACTTTGCCCACTCGTCCTTAGGGGTCTCTTCAATGGCATCGCGATACGCAGCCACCGCTTCTTCAGCATTCATAAACCGCTTTCCTTTAAGTTTTTCTTTAATTTTTGGAAATAAATAAAAATCACAAGGCGCGAGGTCGGGGCTATACGGCGGGTGACCCAGTAATTCAACGTTTAATGTCGCCAAATAGTCGATCGTTCGCTTGGCGGTGTGCGACGAGGCGTTGTCGTGGTGAAGGAGGATCCTACTGCGAGGTCGTTTCTCTCGAACTTTTTCCAAGACAAGTGGCAAACAATTGGTAGTGTACCATTCTGCAGAAACTGTTTTTTGATCCTCTAACACAATTGTTGCAAAATGACCTATCCTTCCAAAGAACGAGGCCACCATTTTTTTTCCCGCACTTCGATCTCTCTTCACTTTAGTTGGCAACTCCTCGAAAGGAAACACCCACTGAGCAGATTGTCTTTTGGTTTTAGGATCATAACAGTAAATCCAGCTTTCGTCACCTGTTAGTATGTCGAACACAGCATTTGAGTCACCTCCGTTAAATCTTTCAATCATTTTACGACACCAATCCACACGATGGAGTTTTTGAGCCTCAGTCAAATTATGAGGTATCCACCGGGCGCAAAGCTTCCTGACCGCTAAATGTTCGTGGAGGATTTTGTGCACTTGACTCATACCGATGCCTAAGCTTGTCCGAATCTGTTGATAGGTCACTCTTTTGTCAGTCTCTATCATACGCCGCACAACACAGATGTTATCTTCAGTCGTCGCCGTAGAAGGCCGTCCCTCACGTAAATCATCAGTGAGATTAGTGCACAGAACAAAAGTACTCTACGAGAAGAATGCCAACTTCATAGAAAAATATTTTCTATAGAAACTAGCGCCACCTATAGTCAGCCCCCCGGAACAAGTAGTATGGCGGGAAGTTTAAATATTAACTTTATACTTAGGTTTCATATTAACTACCAAATTACTAAAACCAGTGTTTTCTGTGAATATTTTTCGTATACGAAATCCATAACATACACAAATTCCACAAACGAAAAACATCCACAGGGAACACAGGTTTTAGTAATTTGGTAGTTAATCTAGGTGAAATATAGAGACTACTTCAAAAAGGGAATATAACACAAGCAGATTATAATAACACACTTTATTTTCATTATTATTGTAACATACCGCTTTATTACACAAATTAAGTGAATTTTTAACATACTGTTTGGTTTTTAACTTTAATTTAACACTGATTTACAAGCCTTCAGCATTATTTTAATGTGTGCACCAAATTATCAAGAATATCATTTTGACACAGCATTCTACAATATGTTCGGTGTACAATTTCATTTGGAATTCTGTTGATGAATTGCGTCCCTTGTGGAATATATATTAAGCCCACAATTCACATCTGAAAACAAATACAACGAAATTAAGAATGTTATATCCTTATAGTACAAGAAATAGAGCTACATTTTCCTAAGAATTTTATAACAAACTAATTTAATTTATAGTTCGTAATCGATAAACATCCTTAATCACCTTCACCTACAGCATCACTTTTATCAGAAATATCATAAAATTCTTTCATACAGATTAGCATGACATACCTAATACTGAAGCTCTTTGACTCAAGTTATATTTTTTACAACTAAATACAAGTATTTATGTAAATTCTAACTCTACTGCTAATAAAAAACACTAGCATTACATAATGGGAATATTCTCTTGTTAAAATGTAGCGGAACTTCACGTACTATTCATTAGTTTGGAAATCTATAAATAGAAGATTAAAGCAAGTACCGTATAAGATTCCTTTTAGCCGGCTTCGGAAAACGAAAGAGCTCTACATTATGCTGGGTTGGCGAACGTCCACACTTAAAACATTTTCTTCTATTTTCTTTATCAGCCATATTTTCAACAACCACAACAATAGAAAAGAGTCACTATCTCAAATTTCACAAATAACTATGAATCCACTTTCTAAGCACATTAAAAGGAGGAACAAAAGCTCATCTCGTCGTTATAATGATAAGAAAATGCAGGAAATAAGTAATTGTGATGAAATCGCATGGAACAAGTAGGAACAATTTTTTTTTTTTTTTATTTATTAGTGTTTACGGCTCTGGATACTAGTCCTTTTAAGCCTTACATAGTTTTTTGACAGAATACAAGACAAAATTCGTTCATTGTTCTTTCTTCTCACTCAGATATTTTTGACAGTGTTGACAACAAACTTGAATAACGGTTTAAAGTATTTGTAGTCTTTTAATAATTCTTCCAGCGTTGATGGTATGTTCTTGGTGATTGCTTCAAGTTCGCTAACAAGTACCAAGCGATGTAGTCCAAACCGTTTACATTTGAATATGATATGTTGCAGATCTTCATTTTCTTTACAATCAGGGCATTTTGGATCATCTGCCATCTTCAATCTATGCAGGTGAGTGCGAAACTGACCATGACCAAATCTCAATCTGTTTATAGTAGTTATGAACTTTCTACTCTGTATTGATTTATTGTACCACCAAGGTTGGGCGGGCGGGCTTCCTTGGACCTTTTTGTACCATTGACCTTTCTCTTTGCTAATTAACTCCCATTGGTTTTTCCAGAGCATCGCCAAGTTTTGATTAACAACAGCCTTAAAGTCAGTAAAAGGAATCTTCATTGATTGTGAATGGTCTTCATTGGGTGTGGATCGTGCTATTTCATCAGCCTTTACGTTTCCTGTAATGCCACTATGCGAAGGTACCCACATAAAATGTATAGTTTTATCTGAATCATTTAGGTTACTTAAGACTTGTTTGATATAAAACACTAAATAATTAACATCATATTTACAACTATTTCTAAATGAATTTAATACACTTTGTGAATCAGAAAGAATTAAAAACTTGTTAACATTTTGTAGTGCTGAGATATATATTAAAGCCTGATAGATAGCATAACATTCAGCTGTATATATACTACAATTACTTGGGATTAATATACATTTGCTTAAATTTAGCTGGACATCATAATAAGCAGATGTCACTCTATTATCAGTCTTAGAACCATCTGTGTATACTCTATAATAAGATTGGTTTTCTAGAAATTGCATTAAATCTTTGTTATTTTGTATTGGTTCAGAATGTAATATGAAATTACAATTTATCAATGCATTATATGAAATATTGTACAGAGGCCAAGTATTATCTATATACAGATTTGAATAAAATTTATGTACATATAGCACAATTGCTACCATTTCTGGAGTGTATCCAGTATTAAGTGAAGCATTATTGATATAAGAACCTCTTTGCATATTCTGTAAAGTTTCTAAAGGTAATAGTCTGCCTGTAATAAATGAGCTTTTATAAGAAATAGTTCTTAAGCAAAATCTTTCTGCCAACTGTAAACGCCTGAATATGAGTGGTGGAATACAGCTTTCTGATTGCATCACATGAATAGGAGTAGAACACATTGCCCCAGTTATTATTCTCAAAGCTCTATTTTGAAGAACATCTAATTTACGTAATAAACTTGAATTAGCATTCATGTATGCTAGACAACTGTAGTCAAAGTGACTTCTTACCACGCTTTTATAAAGCATTGACAAAATTTTCGGATCTGAACCCCAATGTATACCAGCCAGAGATCTAAGTACATTTAAACCTTGTGTGGCACTTTTGATTATCTTATCAAAATGTTTCTGAAAGCTCAACTTAGGATCTAAACATACACCCAAGAATTTGTGGTCTTGAACCCATGGTAAACAACTATTATTGTACATAACATCATTATTAAGTGTACTATAAGGTATCTTACTAAAAATCATAGCAGAACTTTTTGAGGCACTTATTTCTAATTTTAATATATTTTTGTAATAGTGGTGTATTTCTGTTAATGCTCTATTTATTTTATTGATAGCAATATTTACATTATTATTTACAGTATATATAACTAGGTCATCAGCAAATTGTAGAAAATATACATTATTTTCCTTTAAATGTTGTTTAATTTGACATGTATAAATATTATACAATATAGGAGAGATTGTTGCTCCTTGCATAGTACCTTTGTAGACATTTCTTGGACCATGTAATATATTGTTATACTTTATATACATATGTCTGTTAAATAAAAAATCAAACACCCATTTACAGAGTTTACCTGGAACACCAATATCATGAAGGACTTGGGACATGATGGAAGGATTCACATTATCGAATGCACCTTTAACATCAAGAAATGCACAAACTGTCACGGAATGTTGAAGAAATGATGTTTTTATATCAGATATCAATGAAATAAAGCTCTCTGCAGCACTGCGACCTTTGCGAAACCCAAATTGTTCTATAGGTAATATTCTATTACTTTCAA